TATATATCTCTCTCTCTCTCTCTCTCTCTCTCTCTCTCTCTCTCTCTCTCTCTCTGTTGGCAGCTGCGGTCAGTGTCCATGTCTAGACATTGAACGCAAAGCCAATTGAAATGAAATGCTTGAATGCTGCTGCCCAAGAAAATGCAAGATTTTGAGCTGCAGCTAAATCTTGTGGCAAGTGCAAGCGACGACAAAAGTTCAACAGACGCGCTAGCAGCCTCCTACTCCACCTCCTCCTCCTCCCAGCCGCCTACCGCAGCCAAAACCAAGCGCCTCGCTCACATTTTTAGGCGTTGCAGCAATTGTAAATTAATTCATATTAGCAAAACAAATGCGAGGCTTCACTGTATACATGTAAGTGTGTGTGTGTCTACTCTCTGTCTGTGTGTGTGTGTGTGTTGCTTAGCTTTTAGCATTTCATTGGCGATGAGTTGTTGTGCAGGTTTCGCGGTCTGTGGGAGCATCGCTGCATAAAAAACCGGCGCAAATTATATTCAAGAAAACAAAATATATATATAAAAAGAAAAAAGAAAAAAACAAATCACAACAACTACAGCAGCAGCCATATGTAAATGCAACTGTGTAAAAAGTCGCGTCGCGAAGGCTGAGAAAATCAACACAGCACAAATGTTAATTACGAGAATATCTTTTAACTAGCCAAGCAGATTGCACTTAGCTTACATAAAATATCTGATGGATGCAAAATGCGAAAAGCTCTCAAATTTTTGTGGGTGTGTGAGTGTATAGATTATAAATATATATGTATGTATAATTTGCTCAAATTTGATGTTGCACTTGGCTTACATGTGGTATGCGTGATATTCGATATAAATGCTGAAATTCTAGTTGGACTAGCGCAGCCAGCGCTTAGCCAAGTTTAGTTGGCAGACAAGGGAAATCCAATTGGACATCTCATAAATGCCAATCTGAATCACATACATATATATGTACATACGCGCATTGAGCTTGTAACTGCAGTGCTGGCATTTAATTATTATGTTCATTAGATTTCAATATAGGAAATAAACAGGTAATTAAGTGAAATTAGCTTTAATTAACAACTCACGGACTTAGCTAGTATATACTATAGTGCAATTGTTTATATTTACCTATATAAATACATAGGGCTATAAATATATAAAAAAAATTGTTTTTTGAATTTATTCAGCTAAAAACCACAAAAGTAACCTAATCATTTTTAAAATTAAATATAGTTGCAGTTTTTATTTATTTTTTGCTATTTATAAAAATACAATGCTTCATAATGAAAAATAATGAATTAAAAAAAAAAAAAATTGTATGTAAAATAAATAATAAATAAAATATATAATGTTTAAAATAAAAATATAAATTTTTAAAAATCTGAACTAAAAAATTTAAATCAAATTTAAATTTGAATTATCTTATTTGTTTTCCATATTTTCCCACAGTTTAGAGGACTCGAACAATTAAGAATTATAATATATGTATATAATATATGACTGGTCGTTAAATAGTGCAGCTGTGCTAGAAATAAAATTGAGTTGTTTTACATTTGTTTGCTTTGACTACTCTCGAAAAATGAATGTTAACTGTTTTATCAATTTAATCTAGCAATAAAACCAATTATTAAAGAGAGATCTCAGCAATATTAAAAATTAACTTCTTATAGCATAAAAACAATTACTAAGTGAATTTAAATTTGCTACAAATATGATATCATAATGAATGTTCAGTTTTGAGATATCAATCAGTTTTATATTCTAGTGAATCACTTAAGACTTTTCATGGCTCAGCGTGCTGCATAACAAATGATTGAATATGAATGACAAAAGCAAAAATAAAAGCAAAAGCAAACGACGCAGCCGTTGAGCTGAGCTGAGCTGAGAGATCAGCTAAGAGCGCCGCTAAGAGAGCCGCCTCGCTGCCTGCCACTTGCCACTCGCTACTCGCCAGGCGGCGAGCTCTTGTTTGGTATAAAACATAAACAAGCCAAAGAAAGCCATTCATTTTGTTGTTTGAGCTGGCGCGAAACGTTTGTCCCAGCACCAGTTGAAGTCGAAGCCAACGTCGAAGCAGCCGCACAAGTCAAGCGCTGTGGCATTTAGAGTGCAACATAAAGTGAACACACACAGATACAGATGCAGATGCAAGTACATGTGTAATACACACACACATATATAAATCTGTATATAAACATAAAGTAAACATTGATTGAAGTCGAGACAAAATACGACTCAGTTCGCAGTGTGTGCTAAAGTGCTCAAGTGTGCGTGTGTTTGTGCGAGTGCACAAGAATCGATTGGCTTTTCCTATAAACTACCGTTTGGATACAAACTTAAGGAGTCGCCGCCACAGCAATGCAGTAAGTCGGAATGAATCATAAAGCAAAGACCCCGAAAAGAATTTTCAATGCAGTCGCTGCCTATAATTATGCCAGACAGAAGAGCGGAGCGAGGGACGGGGGCCGTCAGATTTGTGTCGCTTGGCAACCACAAATAAAAAAAAAAACATATTCTTTTCAAATTATTTCAAAACCCATAGAGCATACGTAACTGTAACTGCGCGTTTGTTGTGAGACCTTTTTCTGGCTTTTTCTAGCTATGTGTGTGTGTGTGTGAGTGTGTTTGTGCTTGGCGTGGGAGTTTTGCTTTGTTTTGCTTTGTTTGTCTTAAGTCTTGTTGCCTGCGGCTCAGACTGAATTTGGTTTGGACAGCCGCAGCCGCAGAAACAGTCGGCAGAGCTGGAGCTGGAGCTGGAGCTGAAGCAGAGTTTTTGGACGTCTTTTGAGGCTTTGCCTTGGCTTATTACCTAATCTCATTGTCTGAACGCCTTCTGAGTGCGCAAAAACTACAAAAACACAAAAACAGAAGAAGTAAAGCGTTAAGTAAATAAGCTTGGAAAATGCGCTCACAGCTAAACACAAAAAAAAAAAAAAGCCAAAAAAAAGCGAAACTCTTGCAGCACACTCTGAGTTGTTAGCCTTTGTGTCAATCAGTGGTTTTTAGCGACTGTCCCAGCTGTCCCGCTGACTCATTGCCAGGCCAGGGCCAAGCTCTGCGCTAACTAGAGTGCATTCGCGCTGGTCAGCAAACAGACAAATGGAGTCAAAAGCAGCCAGAGATCAGCGATTCGATAGACGGCGGCAAACAGCGACAGTCAAATTGCATCATTTGTCAGCTTATGACAATCCTTTCTAAAAAGAGGCGTATAAATTACTTGGGCTAACTACGGGTTATTATATAACTGCACTACACCAGCTGCGAAATTGTATCGCTTGCACACATGCGGCGTATACGCAATATTTCAAAAGTCGTCGCGTTTGAAATTACAGTTAGAGCAAACGAACGATTGAACGAACGAGCGTACGCACAGCAATGCGCATGCGTGCCCCGCCAGCCCGTCCGTCCGCCGGCCCGTTAGTCCGCTGGGCGAGGCCTCGTGCGTCCGTTTGCCTCAACTATCAAAAGACATGCCAAATTGTCGACGATTAAATCGGTTTCTTTTTCTTATTATTTAGTTTTTTTAATATTTTTTTTTTACCATTTACCATTTGCCATTTGGCATTTGTTGGGTGTGTATTTAATGCAATAAATATATTTTGGACGCCCCAGCAACGATTTAATGTTTTGCAGATTCCCACAAAACCTCGCGCGAAGGTCGCTCGCAAACTGTAACAAATTGTTTTTGTTGTTGTTTTTCTTTCGATTAAAGCGAAACTGGAAAGAAAATGTTGCACATCAAATTCATTGCCACACGCAATTATCCTCCACATAATTCACATGCTGAAAAATCAACGGCTCGTAAAGAGAGGGCCACAGCGATTCACCACTAAGCAAAAAGAGAGAAAAAAAATGCACGCACATTAAACTTGTTTAATTTGTTGTTGTTGTAATTGTAGCAGTGCAATGTAATTTATTTTGCTTGGATTTTTTTTTTTCGGTTGTGTTTTCCATTTTTTTCGGTGCTGCTAACGAGCGTGCGGCATAATTAACCAATAAAATTAAAGTACATAGCACTCGCGGCTTAAGTGAAAACAAAAGACTTAGGCAACAAACTCAGGTGTTAAATGGCAGCTAATGGCATTGTTGAGCAGGCTCAAAGAAATGAAACACAAAAAAGAAAAACACACAAAAACAATTTGCTTTACTTCAGTTAACTTGAACCAAAATGAAATTTAATTGGGAAATTTAGCAAAATTGTATTCAAATTGAAAAACATTTGTTTGATTAAAAAAAAAAAAGACGTGAACAACAAACTCGATTGTTAAAAAGCAAGCCTAACATATTAGAAACAATTTGCTTCGAACAACTTGCATTGTGAAATAGTTTTAATCGCATTCAAATCGTATAGTGTCTGATCAAATAGAAAGACTTAGGCAACAAACTTGCATGATGCACGATATGAAAAGACTTGAACAACAAACTGGCATGCAAAATATTTCCATAAGCTATCGAAGCTCAATTTGTTCAGCTGATTAAACTGAAATTAAAAGGAAAATAAATAAGGCAAACAAAAGAAATAAATAAAGTTAAAGCCAAAGGAAGCCTTAGAAAAAATTAAATTAATTTTTAAAAATAAAAATCAAGAAAAAATTAAATAGAATTTTTAATAGATTTTTAAAATATATAGCTATTTAATTTTCTATCATTTTCGATGTAAGATAAAACATACATACATATATATCACATCCATATAATCTTCCATTGATACATTTAGTTGTCCTATATTATTATTGCATTGGTCAGTAATTTTCTCAAGCCCCGCATTTAGTCTGAGTGATTCAAGTTTCTATTTCATAATCGATTGAAAACAACATGCCTTATGTCACAGACTTTATACGCCCAGCTTTTAAGGAAATCAAAGCGTATTCAGCTCTTGGCCAAAATAAAAACATTGCTAGAAATTGAATTGGCAGTCAAGAAAAGACACAAGCACACACATACACACACACACACACGCTTAGATTTTCTATATGAATGTGCATAATGAAACCACTTTTGCTGCAATTGCGACTTACGAGTGCGGTTAGAGGCGAAGAGACAAGCAAGCGATAAGCGACAAGCGACATAAGAGACAAGGAGACCAGTGAATAGGCATCCACAGAGACGAGAGACAACGCATCGCTTCTTGGCGTCCATGTGATGTAATGTGGTGCATGTCTGGCATCTGGTTTAGGCATCTGGACTACTAACACCAACAGCGCCGACTGGAGTGGAGTGGAGTAAAATGGAGTGCTCCATTTATGGCAGACAGTGCGGCCACTTTGGCTGTGTGGCATGCAACGCATGATTATGTGGAGCACTAGGAAACGTTTTGCTGGCAACCCAATTTAAAAGAAATTGATGAATCCAGTTAATGACTTAACCAAGGCGGTGTTTCGCCTCTCTCTCTCACTCCTTCTCTGTTGCTCTCGTGCTCTTGCCAATAACTGATGGACCAGGATTAACGTAATCAAACAGTAGCTGCCACAGTAGTGACAATGCAACACGGCAACAGCTGCAGCTGCCGCAAAGTACTTAACTCACTTGCCAAAAGTTCAAAGGTGGCCAACAACAACAACAACAAATTGGCTAAAGGCCAGAAAGACGGTCAGACAGCCAGACAAATTGCCAGCTAGAATTGCTGAAACAAATTGTATGAGCACTACATATATACAGCCTATGTGTGTGTGTGTGTGTGTAGGCAGTGGCCATTACATAAGCGTTCGCATTCGCTTTATTAACATGCCTTAATTAGCGCCGCTTTATAGCCAACGAATCACCATTAGCATTAACATTAACAGCCACTTGGCCTGACACATTGAAAGTAAAAGTTGCGCTTTTCGCCATTGCTCTACTCTCGTACATTTCACATTATTATTATCGCTCATAATATTATTTATGCTTAGCTGTTTCGGCTTTCGATTGTAAATACCTTCGATTCAATTGCACTGCACGCGAGCACGTAACATTGGCCAAGCCGCGGCAGCGTCAAGCGTCAAGCCAACGCCAACTGGCTGCCGGTCAACTGGCTTTGGTAGTTGGCCACAATGCGTAGCTGCCCCGCCGTTGACATTCAGCCAACTTCGAGTGGGTTTTCGCTAAATGGCGCTTAAATTGAACCCGTCGCTGAGAAAAGTGAGCAACTAAAAAAAGAAACAGCAGCTGCAGCACATCTTCATTTTATACCCTATCCCAGGGGACGATTGCCAAAAATATAAATACAAGTTATGCGCCTTAAAAGGGTATTCAAACAGTTGGTTATGTAGGCTAACACAGAATATGCCTTGGGGGAGATGAAAATTAAAAAGAATAACTATAAATTTATGCAACTTTTGATATTTATAATTTATAAATCTGAGCTATGTCTAAGCAAACGAAGGTTGAAAAGAAGTAAAGAACAATAATATGAAAGAAATCTGGCAATGAATATAATACATAATCTATTGTATATACAACCCTAGACTAATTTTGATTATTCAATGACTTGAATATTTTATAATTGAATCAATCAATACAATATAACATATGAATAGACAGCACAACGTCTCTTGTTGGGGTTCTTCAATTACTTAAAGATTTGATATAAGAATTAAATAAAATTTTCCTTAAAAATAAAATGAAATAAATATAAAATATTTGAACACGAATTTGCTGAAAAAAAAAAGATTGTGCAAACAAAAATGATGCTCAAGTTGTCTAAGAAATGCAAAGCTAAGCTTCCACAATAATGTTAATCCATTATAAAAAGAAATTACTACGATAATGTGAATCCATTATAAACAACAGTTGACTACTTGCGTCAAATCAAGATTTGCTTTGCAAAGTAATTAAACAAGAAAAATGAATACTTACTTTGGCAGAGATTAGAGAATATGCTATATCATGACAATATGATATGATAATTTATCATCTGCCAATTAGGAGCTCTTAAGCACACTTCACATAGAGCATTCCAGCGACGACTTTTGGCCATCGGCATTTCAACAGTGCAACTAACTGCACTTCTTAGTCCCGTAGCTTGACGACTGCCGAGAGTCCCAGCTCCGCATACCCTCAATCTTTTAGCTGTGATGCGATTACCTTATAACTAGTTTCTGTGCTGCTGCGGCTGCTGGTGTCTTGGTGTCTTGCATAACGCGTCGCTGGGCTGCCGCAGTTGTTGCCTTCTTTGGCTGCAATTTGGCGGCATCTTCGCTGCATCTTCTGCTTTTTTTTTTTTGTGCTCTCTGCGCCTTTGTTGGTGTCTCGCGGCAAAAGGTTCGCGTAAAATCAAATATTTTTCCCGCGTTTTGCGCATTGAGGTTGCCACAAAAGTTTCCCATATCATAAAGTCTTACTTATTGATGGCATGACTTGGCTAATCTGATTGCTATTGCCAATTCCCATTTCTTCTCATTGTATATACATATATGTGTGTGTGTGTGTATATCTTTGTGTTGTATTTTGCAGACGCAATCGATGCCTGACGTTGGTCCTAGTGGCATTGGGCCTGTGTGCCTGTGCACATGCTGCCGCAACGGGTGCCCCCACAGCGACGGCCACCACGGAGAAGCCGAAAGGCTTCTCGGCACGCTCCCTGGATGTGAGCGCCAGCGGCGATGACGATGACGAATTCGAGACGCAGGCACAGACACATCTGGCCTATCGGCAGCAACAGCAGCAGCAGCGGCCCCTGTACGAGTACAGCGAGGAGGATCAGGAGGAGGCGCCGCGTCAGGTGTACATCAATCGCAACAATGGCAAGCAGCAGAGCAACTATCTGAAGAAGCAGCCGCTGAGCCGCGAGGAGAGCGAGGAGGAGGAGGAGGAAGTCGAAGAGCCCGATCGTCTCTCCACACTGCTCAGCAAATCCTCCTTCAGCTGCACAGATCGTAACTCTGGGTGAGCACAGCGACAACTCTCCTAATTAGCAATTTCATTAATTCGAATCTCCGCAGCTACTATGCCGATGAGTCGCTGAACTGTGAGGTCTTCCACTACTGCCAGGAGAGCCAGAAGCATTCGTGGATCTGCCCCGAGGGCTTCACCTTCCATCAGATCCACTTGATTTGCATGCCCCCATCGCACGACAACATCTGCAAGCAGTCCTCCAAGTACCATATTGTCAACGACTATCTCTACAAGCCCATCAATCTGCAGGAGCATCAGAGCAAGCCGAACGTCACGCTGCGCTACTCCGAGCGCTATTTCCCCGAGAACTATTACGAGCATGAGCGCTACGACGACGAGGAGGAGGAGCTGCCCGCACCCCGTCCACGCATTCAGCATCAGCAGCAGCAGCAGCAGCAGCACCGTCAAGCGATTGCCTACCAGTCGCAGCCACAGCCGCAGCCACAGCACGCGCCCCAAGTACGCGTTCAATACCAACAGCCTCAGCAACAGCAACAGCAGCAGCAGCAGCATCATCATCAGCAGCAGCAACAGCAGGTTGTTACACAGATCAGACACCAGCCGCAGCCCACAACCATTGCCTATAGGAAGCCGTTGCCCACGACAACCATACAGCCGCAGATTCAGCCACAGCTGCAATTGCATCAACTGCAGCAACAGCATCATCAGAGGCCGCAGACACTGGCGCCCACAGTGACACCGGCGCCGTATCGTTTCTTCACTGCCTCGCCGCTTCAGCATCTGCAGCAGCAGCAGGTCTATCGTACTCCAGAAGAGATTAACATATCGCTGCAGCAGCGTCGGCCCCAGGTATTCATTGCTTCCACAACGCCCCGCTACTACGAGGATGAGTACCTGTACGAGCGAAGGAAGTGAACGTGAGAACCGAAGCAGCTGCTGTTCCAGCTGACCAGCTGAGCAAATGAGCAGCTCAATGTAAACAGTCTTGTCGTTCCACGCCTTGTATGAGTTACCCTCTAGGCTTAAGCTGCGCCCACTTATCTTGTATATGCTATAACAACTATATAGTCCCAAAATTTAGCGCGAGTTTTATGTACCTTATTTGTAATATTTAATGTCCTGCTAGAAGAATCCGCCTTCTAACTCATTTCGATAATAAAGTACGCAACGTTTTAAGTTAAGCATCTTCATTGTATATCAATTTCCATGTATTGATCAGCATTGGAGAGCTGCATGGCTTGGCTCTTGGTGCCCTCCTCCACGACATAGTTGGGTCCGACCAGACAGTTATTTAGCACCGAGCCACTCTTCACATGCGCACGATGTCCAATGATGCAGTTGTTGATATTGCAGCCCTCGTCCACAATGGCATTTGCCATGATGATCGAGTTGGTTACAATATTCTTCGGACTCACAACACAATTGGCACCAAAGACGCTGCAGTTGAGCGAGGTCTTCTCCGAGAGCTTGGCGTTGTCCGCCACAATGATATCCTTGGTCTGTGTCGACTTGACCACAGCACCAGGTGCAATTAGCGGATGCGAGTCGCCGCATAGCTCCGTCCAAATGCCCGACAGCTTGCGATTGATGGCCAGAAAGCTGAGCGTTGTATTAACGCGCACTCCAATCGCCTCCTTTGGCGCTTGCACTGCAAAGCAGCGCACGACGTCGCCGTGGTAGGGTATATGCGACAGCGATTGATTGAACAGCGAGGTCTGTGTCAGTTTCTGATCCAGCGCCGTGTGCGTTACATACTTCATATAAATGACATATTGATAGCGGCTTACAAACGAAAAGAGTATCATCAACTCACGTGCAAAATATTATCCTCATTTTTGGTGGCAACACCCAAATCGGAGGTAGTATCCGGCAATGTTTTTGTCGACCGCCTAGCATGCTGTTTGCGAATGAGATGTGGCAGAAACTCGCCTTTGAATGTTGAAATTTTCTCTTTCTGCATGAAATTAAATAATTGATTGCAAATTTAAAATATTTGAATAACAGATTTTTCTCTTGCCATACCCTGTGCAGATAATTGATCACCCATTTCTTTAGCACATAGATGTGCGCATCCAGCAGTCGCCCATAAACGTCCAGTTGTCCCTTGTTCTTGAGCAGATGACGCTGAATGTTAAGCGTATCCTCACAGTCGCTGGCAGCAAAAACAAATGCCAAACGCTGCGTGGCTGTATGAATGCCAATCATATCGCGCTCTGGCTTGTGCTTTGTCTTGGGACCAGGCATAATGACGTCTGACTCGAAGCCGCTCTTGAAGAGTAACATAGCCAGCGAAGCATCATCGGCTCGAAACTTGTTAATCAGCGGATATAAACTGACATTTGTAACAATATCACAGCTAACAACCAAGAAATCCGATTTGATTCTGAAAGCGAATAGTATATATTGTATATTATAAATAAATAGTTCGTATTAATCATTTACTTGTCGTATATGTAGCGCAGGCTGTCGGCTGTGCCAAAATCGCTGTCACTTGGCACTGTCGCATAGTCGATTTTCACTTTAAGGTGCGTGTGCTCCAGTGCCACCTGTATCTCTAATTTATCCTGTTCTTGCACCACAACAATTACCTCTGCAGAAAAAAATAACATAAGAACTTCACTCGAGTTAAATTATTATTTGCATTATTGATATTGATCACCTGTAAAGTTATGCCTGCTTAGCATATTGAGTGGATACCATATGAGAGGATATGGACCCACGGGCAGCAAACACTTGGGCGCATCGCCAAGCACTTCGGGCAGACGTGTGCCGCGGCCCGCAGCTAAAACTACAGCTTGAAATTCGGAATTTGTCATTTTTTATGCCAGCACAATATTCAAGAGTATTTAAAATTGCCAACACGCTTGAGCGACGACGAAACAGCTGTTCGAGCAGCTGCTGGCGTTGACCAACACTGTTGCCCATGGGACATATGTTGCTGTCACATGACTGCATTTGCATTGTTTTTGCAATTGTATAAATCTAGTCAGATGACCCATTTTTTCCATTGAGACTCCCACAATTTTATGCACTTTTCAGTAGAAATTATAACAATTTTAGAACAACAAAAGACTTTAATGTATGATTTGAGTGCTACATAACTACAAAATTGGAATACATACATTTTTCTTATTGGAATTAGACTATATACTTTAAGCTTACAAAGTTTGCCAGTAGCTACATTTTACATACAATAAGTTTTTGTTTGGGATTTTCTTTTGCGGTTTAAAAATGGAAACAGAACAAATATTTTTTCTTGAAGTTTAACAATAACATATTGCTGGAATACACACACACACGTAAACACGTATGGGATTAATACTTAGAAGAGAACATCATCATCGCCCTCATCGAGTATGTTCGCTTGCTGACGGACATCGATGCCCTGTTCAAGAAGCTCTGCTTTCTTGGCATCTGCCTTCTGGCGGGCTTCACGCTTCTTGTCCTGAATCTTTTTCAAGCGGTAGAACTCCTCACGCTCAAGCTCATCCAGCTCCGAGATGATGTACGCCAACGTACGATCGATACGAGGTATGATGACATGCTCAATGGCGTTGACACGACGATTCGTGATCTTGATAACCTCGTCGAGGGTGACAAAGGAGGTCTGGAGCGAAGCCAGCTCAACGAGTAGCTTGACGGCGCTCTGGTAATTCTTTTTCAATTTGGCCAGCTGTTGTCCACCACGGGCCAGACCAGCCAGCTCATAAGTATCAGCGCCATCCTGATAAGACTCGAACACGGGCAGCGTAACACCAGCGACGTTGTCTTTCTTGGTACGTATCTTGATTTGGGCTTTGGTCACGTTTTGCAGCACCACCTGATTGATGTCGCCCGATGTGAACTTGGCTTCAGCCAGCGAGAAGGCGGCCTCTTTCATAACATCGCCCATCAAAGTTTTCGTCTCGATGATTTTGCCAAGAATCATACGGAAGCGCATTTGCAATGCATCAGCTTTTTTCTTCAACAGGCCATGACCTTTCTGAGCACCCGCAAGACGGGCCTTCATTAACATTTGGGCGCCACGAGACGGGAAAATCGGTAATCTATCTTTTCCAGACATTTTCGTATAATTTTAATATTTGTACGGGGTTATTCACTCGATTTTTCTTTACTGCGCACCACAAATTTTAACACACCCGTCGAAGAACACTGAAAAACTCCAACTGGACTGGATAAACACAGTGTTGACTAAGCCTCAAAAAATGAGTGCTGGACAATACACTGTAGAAGCAGTAATGCAAAATCGAAAAGTAGTGCTGCACAATGGACTGCAGCATTAGTGTTGAGTAACTTATCATAAAAACAGCTGTTTAGTAAACATCTGTAAGCAAACCAGTAGCGCTAGCGGCATATTTATAAATAATGCAAATTTTGCAACGTTTGTTTTGGTCACCACCAAAAACAATACAAGCATACTGCCGTAACTACGCCAAAAAACCAAAGGGAGCCATGGCACACAGTCGACGCATGGTGCACAAGGAATTGCTGCGTTATGTAAACCCCTATGCACTCATTAATATCAAATCGGATATTCCCATCCATGTGGAGCCCGCCGATGTCCATGTGTATACCAGTGGAGATGTAATTATAGCCCAACTAACTGGTGGTCCCGTATCCAACTCAAATGTCGATCTGAATATGGATGTTGAGGACGACGACAAGGTTGTCAATGTCTTGGTTAAAAAGCTAAACGAACAGAAATCGCATTTTAAATGCCTTCTAAAGATTCCCGTGCGTGCCGACGTCAACCTAGAAGCAAAAGAAAAAGTAACCGTGCAGGGTATACAAGGCGAGGTACTTAAGATTAAGGCAGCTGGCGATATATTCACCAGGAATGTGCGAGCCACAGAAATATCGCTGAACAGCAAAAACGGCAACATCGTCTGTGAGGGAACGCTGCTAGGCAAGAGCACCGAAATCGAAACAGAGAACGGAGTAGGTACCTAAGGTATCCAGTATCCACAATGTAATTTATGTATTGCTGCTCAGAACATCAATTTGGACAAGCTGCAGGGTGACAGCCTAAAATGCTCCACACAGGCGGGTGACATCAATACAGACTGCTGCTACGTAGAGAAGTCAAAGTTTGAGACGACAACGGGCAGCATGGAGCTCAAGAATGTGCACAAAACTAGCGAAGTATATGTTCACCAAGCGGGTGATCTGAAGATGAGTGAGTATGGACATTTTCTTGTCTGTGGAATAATTCAGAATATCTCTCCTTTTCTAGCTGGCGTCCATGGAAACCTGAATGTGTTCTCTAAAGGTGGCAGCATGAATCTCCAGCTCTCTGAGCTGAATGGCAAAAGTGAGATTGTGGCACAGAATCTGATTGACGAGGCCATAATCAATATATCCGAGGCAATAGAGAATATTAATATAGAAGTTAAAGCCAGTCAGGTTAACCTTAACAACGAGCTGGACCATGTCTCCCATGCATTGAGTGAAGACAAAAGCAAGTTTTTGCTAAACAATGAGAATGAGCATCATCTGGTAATTAGCACTACAGGAGAGAATGGAGTGCGTCTTGGCAAGCAATCGTGGACCGATATGCTGAGGCAAAAAATGAAACCAAATGAATAAATTTAAGATATTACAAATATTTATAGTATCTTTCATTATGAATATATGTACGTATGTCTGCTCGTATGTATGTATATAAGTAGTTATAAGTATAAGAAATATGTATTAATATGTATGTATTGTGCATTTATGCAACAATTTTTCAGTCCAGTTTTTATGAGTATTATTTGGCTTTGCCAGCTACTTCGTTTAAAACCACGCCAAGGCGCTGATGTGCCCTCTGAATCAGTACATCATCCACCTGTTCCGTCTGCAAGGCAGCTCGAAACATATCCACTTTCATAGCATCAATTTCTTGTATATCCCTAACTAGAATTGGAACATCCGCGCGGACGAGCATGTGCGCCAATAGGCGCAACACTTTAAAAGCGTTTTCCTCATACTGTGAACGAGGTTCATCCTCGTAAGATTCAAAATCATTTTCATCGTATTCGGTATAGTCTTCAATATGCTGACGTAAAATTGTCCACACACCAAGTAAATGGGCAAAGGCTGCCTTGTCATAGAAATATTTAAGACACTGTAAAAGAAATTTGTTTTTACTTTAAAGATTTGCATTATTTGTATGTATTTCGCTTACGCTGCATATATGTGC